GCACTCCCTGGCAGACCCAGAAGTGGACCGGAAGTACTTCCACGTCTGCTGCCGAGCATGCTGGGTAGCCCTCCATGCTCCTGTGGGACACTCCATCCACTCCAGCATCGTAACATTCATGAGCCGCACCTGGTACCTCGACATACGTAGGAAAAAAAATCATTTAAAGCTGTGTCTATGGCTGAATTGTTTATTTTCTGACTCGGCATCAAATCTTCAGATTTGACCAAATAGAATCGGGGACAGTGATCCAAATCATCAACAAATTGAATCACTGTCCCCAATTCAGGCCAAATCTGAATCTAATACGGCCCATTTCGCACACCCCTACTGTTAATCAATCCGTTGACACATTCCTTACTATGCAGTCACACTCTCTCATTCACCTCAGGCGTGCTGCTAACATCTAAACATGAATCATTCCACATTTTCTTTCCAAAGTCCCTATCACATTGGGTATGCTTAGTTCTGGAAATTGGAGCAAAAGGTGGAAAGGTCAGGCTTTCCAGAACCATCTGACCATGCTGTGCATGCCTTTAAGCAAAGAAACTAAGATGCACAGGATTGCAATTCATGGGCATCAATTCCAAGGATATTTGGCTAGATGACACTTAGGTCTGACCCAGTACATTTTGTATTCATCTGGGTCAACAGAAGTTAGTCTTGCAAGAAATGAATAAGGACTTTGGGATCTGGCATATTGGAACTTTATGCAGTGTGATCCAAAGAGCTCTCTGTGTGTTCCAGTTGCAGAAAGATCTTTTTTTAAGAATACACGTTCATATAGATGGGGGTCAAGAGCCAACAATAATTCAGAATCTTATTCTAATCTTATTCTGAATTATCATTAGATCCATAGAGAATTGAAGACCTAGTGAAATTATTGCAAATATCCACATCACTTTTTCCTGCCCCCACAACAAAACACAATTTCTCCTCCTACTTTCCAAAGCATTGTCAAAAGCCACTTGTACAATCTCCCTCCAAAGAGATGTTTTATTCCTAATTATAAAAGCTAATTCCTTGGTGCCACACCGGCTGGAAACACTTTTACTTTGTACTGCTATAAAAATAATTATGACAAAACAAAGGCAAAGTTATTCATGTACTCTGTCACACCCCAAATGCCTTTGATTGTGGTTGTGACAAAAGGTAGTAATTATTTGTGCTGTTTTTTCATGGCAGGCATCTATTTGCTTCATGGAGGGAGAAGCACTGGCAGCCCAGAGCTTCCCACACTCTCTAACTCCCCCCAGCAGCCCATCCTGGGCCTTGAGGGGACTGGTCCTTTCCACTCCGGGTATTCCCATGCAAGATTAGTCCCCACACACCCCAGGAGTGTCTGCCTAGAATCTCCAGGGCACATCTCTGTAAGTGAGGAACACGATGGCTGTTGTGTGTGATTGGTTGACCATATGAGATGACGGGCAACATGTTTTACCCAGTCTAGAAGATCACCTGGGCTGGGAAACATTCCGACCCAGCAGACTCGCTTCATTTGGCAACATCTCTTTATACCCATAGATCCATGTTGATGTCTGTTGAACCTTTTCCTTCTCGGTTAGGATGGGTGGTATCCCTGGCCCTGAAGCATGTCAATAAAATTAAGTATGCATTCAAATATTTTTGCCAAAATAGGGCCGTCATGTAAATTTTTAACTGTCCCTCTCTTCTTTTTAACTGTCCCCCCCCAACACACACACTCTTTAAGGCATTAAGTAATTTTCTATACAGCACTCAAACATTTTTAAAAAAAAAAAACCCCACTGGACATAATCAAGACTTTTGGGCAAGCTAGTGACATGAAATAGAGCTGTACGGTAAATGTGTCTAACTTCAGTCCAGGCAGGATTAATGTATGTGTGGGCTTGCAACTGATGCACCACCTCTGGTATCCTGGAAAAGGAGGTGCAGAACAGCTGCTCCAGAGCTTCCCCCAGCTAGAAATAGATTGTGTCCCTTAGGCAGTAGATTGTGCCTAGGTTGGAAGGGAAAGGAGCAAGAGAGAAGAGATTTCATCACCTCTGCTAGCTGTCCCTTGCTCCAACCCCTCTCCTCCCCTATAAGGGAGGTAAGGTTTGAACTAATTATTGCCACACTGGGCGGGGGTGTGAATCAACTAAGGTTGATGGCTTTCTCTTTAAATCCATCATCGTCTCTTCCCTCTGGGCGTCTTGATCAGCGCACTGCTTTACCTGGTATAAATTTGTTGTTAATCATTAGTTACGACTTTGTGAGCTAAATGGGAGACCTGTTTGTTTTGTGATACTGACCGTTTTGTATGGTGGGTAGGGAGAGAAATAATTCTGGATTTTTGGAAGTCAAGTAGATGCACAGGGACGTGATCAGAAGCAAGGGATTTTAAAGTAGAAATGCTCTTGGAACTATGATTTCTTTTGCTATTTAACTAAGGGCAAAAGCGCTGCTTGTGGTGGTTTAGTTCGTTTCCTAGTGAGATTTTTAAACTACAAGAAGGATTTCCTGCCCCTCTATTTCTTTCTTCCCTCCCCACCCCTCAAACGGAGTGAAACCATATTAGGAACAGAACAGATGCAATCAATTTAGGATTCCATACCCTCTAGATTCTTTAGTTCACACTGCCACAAGCATATATATCCACAGTGCAGTGGAGCCTGACAAGAACAGCCATTTCTCATTTCAGTTTGTTCAGTTTGTGCTTAACCCCTTGATCCATTACAAGTGTGGGGGGGCATTGTTTAATGTTTTAATATTAGTATGGCCATTGCATTATGGATTGCCTGTTTTCATTGAAATTTATCCTAGGGCAATTTAACCTTTTTGCATTTTGATTCTTTCTGAGCTTTGTTTAATTTATTTTTACTATTGAAGTACATGAATAGTTAACTCGCAGTGCTACTGTATAGTGTCACTAGGGGTTTCAGGAACAGAAGAGCAGTGTTGAATATTCTGTCAGGAAATTTATGCAACAATTTACATTCACTTGCATTGTAACTTTGTGCCACTTAAGATGCTCACTGCAAGAGTGTTGGGTATTACTACTTATTTTGACATTGGGAATAGGGTCCTAATATGAAAAAAATAATTGAGATTAATATATTAAGCTTATATTTTTTATTAAATAAATGCCTTTTTAAAAATTTCAGGCTTGGTTTGGTGACTTATTTTTGCCTAAAGAAAATTAATTTAAAATGTTGCAAAGAGCAATATTTTAGACACCTTGAAGAGTATACAGCCCTTGCTGAGCCTCTCTTTCTATGTTCCTGGGTACTTCTGGATCAGTTAACTCTGGGTGCACCTACATAAGACACTACGGCGCTGTAGCATCTGTTGGTAAAGATTGTGATGCTGCTGCTACATCAGTGTAGCAACATGCTCCCTCATTATAGTGCATTGCTATGGCAACATAGCAGCCAAAAATAACCCTGCATAGCTGGCACAGCACAGTACAGGCTGTTACTGCACCGTCTTTTAGTACTTCCAAAAGGAAGTACTAAATGATGGTGCAGTAACAAAGGCCCCCTAGGGGCACGTGTAGATGCACCTTGTTTTCTGTTTTTTC